GGTATTCATTTAATAGAAGGTTTTGGCTGAGGACCCGAGTCGTTCTCCTGTCAGGATTGGGCGCCCTGGCAGTATCCTAGTCCATCCTCTTCGGAGGTTAGGAAGTGGTCGATGGCCCTCTTCCCGTAAAACCTAGCCATGGGAGACAACAAGTCTACGGGTTATAAGCTCACAGCTCGATTGGCGTAGAGCACGAGCGCCACGTATTGTCTCTGACGGTGAGAGAGCACCTCAGGGTGTTCAATGGTTTGCTACTGCCCGCTCAAGCCAGGCAGCCCATGGTCAAATTGGTGTAAACCCGCCAAAACCCACCTGCGTCTGGCCGCGGTCGCAGGTGTATCCTACTACGGTGGCAAAATATATATAAATCGTTCCAGTACCTCCAAGGATGCGTGTGACGGCCGTCAAGCAGACCCCAATCTGTCTCAGCAATCAAATTTCAAAGCTGGATCTGCTCCCCACTGTCTTGTGGGTCAAGCTATTGAGCCAAATGCTCCGGGTGGAGTCCCTCAAGCAAACCTCCAAACCCCCCCTGTCTTGTGGGTCATGCTATTGAGCCAAAGGCTCCGGGTGGAGTCCCCCAAGCAAACCTCCGATGCACAACGACCATCTCGTGTGTGATTCTCCACCAATGCAATCGTATGACTGCAAATAAAGCACTCAGCATCCGGTACTGGAACGTGCGCACACTACTGGACCGGACCTCCAGCGAGTGCCCGTAGCGACGCACTGCACTCGTCGCAATGTAACTGGAGCGCTACCACATCGATATTGCGGCGATCAGTGAAAGTCGGCTGGCTGAGCAAGGTAAGTTGAATGAAGCAGGTGGTGGCTACACATTCTACTGGGTGGGCAACGCGGCCTCAGCACCACGTGATCATGGGGTCGGATTTGCAATATCCAATCGCCTCCATGGCCAGCTCGTAGGGGAACCAACGGGCATCAGCGCGCGACTGATGACTATTCGCCTACCAATCGAAAGAGGTAAGTTTGCTATTTTATAAGCACGTACGGTCCGACCATGTGTTATCCTGATGACACGCGTGATCAATTCTACACTGAGCTATCCTCCGTGATACGGTCTGTACCGAGGAGCGATCGACTATTTCTGCTGGGTGATTTCAATGTGCGCTTTGGGCGTGATACATCGGTGTGGACAGGTGTTATCGGTCTGCATGGCATTGGTTCAGCGAATGCGAACGTTTACAGGCTACTCTTACTGTGTGCCACTCACGGCCTGACGATCACGAATACTCGGTTTGCACTGAGTGCGAGTGATATAGCAACTTCGACGCACCCATGGAGTGGTCACACTCACCTGCTCGACTATGTCATCGTAAGTCAGCGTGATATGCGTGAAGGGCGCGTGACACGTGTACTGCGTGGAGCTGAGTGTGGCACTGATCACAAATTGGTGCGGACCAAACTGTACATATATTTTCGTAAGACTATGTATTGCACTCTCACCGTGAATCGGCGTAAATTTAATATTCGCCCCTCGGTACTGTGGCGAAACGTACTGAGCTGGAGAAGGCGATGGCTGCACGCCTGTGTGGTGATGTGGACTGTATAGCCACAGTGGGCAACCTGTGGCACCACATTCGCGACCAGGTGACAGCTGCTGCCGAGGCGACCATCGGGCGCGCAAACTGTAAGCGGCCTGATTGGTTTGATGACAACAATGTGACGATTGACGCATTGGTGTCAGAGAGGAATGCAGCATTTGCTGCACATGTTGCAGACCCCAGTGACTTGGGGAAGTGTAGTCAGTTTCGCAAACTTCGACGGCATCTGACCCGAGAGCTCCGTCGCATAAAAATTGCATGGTGGTCGGAGAAGGCGAAGCAGATGGAAAGCTACGCCGAACGCCGTCAACACAAGGAATTCTTTGACTCCTTGAAGGTGGTGAATGGACCGACATTGGAGCCGCTGAGGACGCAGATCGACGGTAGTTCAGGCGTTACCTGTACACAGACTGCAGATATGATGCAGATCTGGTGGAAACATTTTCATTGTACCTTAAACAACTGTTCAGAAATCGACTGGCCTACACTGAACGCCCTCAAGCAGCACGATGTGAAGACGAGTCTGGCGGACACGCCGACACTGGATGAGACGCAGAGAGCACTTGCTCAGTTGCGAAATGGGAAGTGTGCCGGAGCCGACGACATCCCGCCTGAAGTATTGAAACACAGCGGATCCGCGTTGGTGACTGGGCTGCACCACTTCCTGCAACGCGTATGGATTGAGAAGGAAGTCCCTCTTGAGCTGAAGGTTTCCATCGTGCTAGCACTGTACAAGGGTAAAGGGAGCAAGCAGTGTTGCAAGAATTATCGTGGCATCAAGTTGCTGAGTTGTGTGGGCAAGGTCATTGCCCGAATCCTGCTCAACCAACTCGTCAGTCAGATTGTGGAACCTAACGTGGCGGAAGAGCAGTGTGGATTCCGTTCGGGTCGCAGCACTATAGAAATGGTGTTTGCGGCTCGTCAGTTGCAGGAGAAGTGCAGAGAACGACACCAGCCATTGTACTCGTTTTTTGTTGATTTCACCAAATATTTGATACGGTGAACCGAGAGGCATCGTGGCTGGTGTTGGGTACGTTTGATGGCCCACGTAATTTTGCAAGTTTAATTGAATATCTGCACAGTGGTATGCGAGCGAGGGTGCAGCTGAGTGGAGAGATCTCGGATGAGTTTGCAGTTGTCTCTGGTGTGAAGCAACGCTGTGTCTTAGCTCCTGCTGTGTTTAATATATATCTTCCTGCAATGTTGTCTTGTGCTTTTGATGCCGCTTGTGCTCACGGTGTTCGTGTGGAGCACCGTATTGATGGTGGGTTGCTGAACATCCGTCGTTTCGGTGCGAGAACCCTAGTCTGTGAGAAAACTATCCGTATGTTGCTGTGCGCAGACGACTGTGCGTTGTTTTCACACAGCACGGATGAGTTGCAGCAAATGACTACTGCTCGGGCTTGAACAGCGGCCAAATTCGGGCTCACCATCAACACAGCAAATCTATCTGTCTCTTGCAGCAATCTTCAATATTGCCGCAAAGCAGCATTGGTGCTGGAGTATTAAAGACCACCTCCCGCTCCTACTACCTCGGGAGTGTGGTGTCGTCGAATCAGCAACTACAGAGTGAGATGCGTATCCGCGTGTCGAAGGCAGTGGCGGCATTCGGGAAGTTAGAGTACCGAGTGTGGAACAACCATCAGCTTATCATTAGCACGAAGCTGATGGTGTACAAATTCACGGTGCTGTCCGTTCTTCTATACGGCAGCGAAACGTGGACGATGTACTGCAGGGATGTGCGACAACTCGAGCAGTTTTTTGACGTATTTTGCGTATCGATTAGGGCGACAGAATTGCAGACAAAAAAGCGTTGCGCCGTCGTGGAATGTATGCAGTGGACTGCATGCTTTCACTGAGACACCCGAGGTGGCTCGGTCATGTGAGCCATATGGATTCGACGCGGATACCGAAACAACTGTTATATCGTCAGCTGAGTATAGGGAAGCGGCACTTGAGCAAACCAAAGTTACGTTACCAGGACATGACTAAAGTGAGCCTCTCACGTTCTAATCTTGATTGCAGATCATGGGAATCGAAGGCAGTTGATCGGCGTGCATGGCGCGATCTAATCACGAAGGTAGTTGCCAAAGTGCGGGAGAAAGACCTCATACATGCAGAGAAGAAGCTGCAAGTGAGGAAGTGGCAAGCAACCATGGGTTGTACTCCATCGACATCAAGCGCATGGTGCTGTAACACATGCGGTCGCGAGTGCCTGAGTCAGGCAGGCCTAGTGAGCCATGAGCGAAGCCACTCGGGACCACCACCGAAGCGACGACGCGTCCTGCAGAGAACGTAGGCAGAAGCGGCGCAGCGTTTGTAGGTGCGCTGCCTTCGATGTACTAATCGCGTGCTTGCATGCTGAGTCTCTTTATCTCAGGTGGTGGGTTTGCAATTTTGTCCTAATGCTTTTCTTCCTCATATAAATGTCTACCTGTAATCTCTCCTATAAACTTACACGCCTCGCTAAAGCCAATTGTAGTTAATTTCGATAACATTTTCGTGTTGGTGGCATTTCCGTAAAATATACTTTCTAACCTCGTAAACTTATCTCGGATCCGTTTGTAAACGACTTATTTCATATGCTCACGTTTCCTTATGCATTACTCGATTTATTTTCTTTGTTATCTTTCTCCTAAGTGATTGGTTGTTGATTGATATCCTCGGTGTGGCTGCGCTTGATGTGCATGTTGACAAGGTGCCTACCTTTCTATTACCCACTACCTCGTCCATACTGGCTCTAGGACACAGTTGGTCGTTGCTAAAGTGGATAGGGTACAAGGTTCTTGTGGCCGTGTTAGGATCAAAGAGTGGTTCCATACACTCAGTGTGGAGCGGACTAACTTCCAGCCACCGTCCGGTGTGTGCGCTTGATTCCCCAAATAGAGCGTGCTTGTGTTTGCCTGTGAAGGAGTGTGGGCCGGCTCCGTTGATGAAACGTGGCTTCCATCCACATGCCTCCCGGTGTTATTCCTTCGGGTTTACACTGGATATGTGGTGTGTGGATGGAGCTGTGGGTGGTGTAGCACAAACCACCCACGGTCCCTCTGTAGGCACAGGCGTCCTGTGGCTGGCCACAGTGACAGGCAAATCCGAAACCGGATGCCGCCAACCATATATATATATATATATATATATATATATATATATATATATATATATATATATTAGAGAGATGCTATAACATGAATGTCAAGCCACAATATTGCACAAAGGCTTATCGTCCATGTATGGACCACAGAGAGTTTCTTGCATCATGAGAAACGTACGCAGTACTACTAGTATTATTCTTAATCGGGGTCACTGGAGTGTTCACCGAAACCTTTATCCCGTATCTTCAGCCATCTGGTCACGAGGAGCAACGCTGGTCACAACGGTTAATGACGGATTGGAGGGTCATTTGGAAGTTCTCAATTTCAATCAGGATCAAGATTTATTTTGAACGGAATCCCACATCCCAAAGGATGTCCCTGATTGCAGTCGCAGTCCTGCGCAAACCAGTGCCAAACTCGGTGATAGTGAAATGGAGCGCTGCGAATGGGCAACACCCAAGGTTTATTTGTCACGCCTCACACTTCACAGCTATAAAAACATGGTTGCGAATGGGCCAACATGTTTAACAGCATGCATACAATCACGTGAAGAGTTAACCACCACCATCACATGGAAATAGATAAACACATGGTACACATGCAAACGTTTTGTTTCAATGGTGATTGGCACTAAAGGATTGTGACTGTGATAACAACAGTTCAAAGACCGGGGTAGAAAAATAGTCTATATTGTAAAAGTGAGTAAGAATCTTCATCGCAAGTCGTTGATGACATTGAAAGTAGCAGCGTTAGGTCGACAAAATATGTTCCGTAGGAAGTACTGAGAAAAAAACCTTGGAAATAAAAGTGAGGGAAGGGGCAAGACAAAATATAGTCACTAAGTTATTGGAATAGGTGACGAGGAACTTGGTAAATGATCATATCATAGTATTGGCTTGAGGTAGCAAGCAGCACACAAGAGCGCGACGCTAGCCACAGGAAAATATAAAACGATCGGAAACATCATCTGTTGGGCGTACAAAACGTTCGGCACTGTAGCCGATCCCACAGAGCAAGTTGACGAGCTGGATTACCAAAGCGATGACTGGATAACATAAGTTCTAGTTGGTTACTGGATTCATTTACAGGAGAAAATGCGTAGATTTGTGGCAGGTGCATTGGGGTTAGAAGTAACTTTTTAAGCACAATTCCGAGAAAAACGTCATCGAAACGCAAATACTTTGTGAATCGGGAGGCGATGTGCATTTTGCGGGCCACTTGCATGGAGATGAAGAAATTGCCCGCTGCGACGTATGGCGGGTATTGTGCGTCCGGATAGTCGTTCCAATCGATGACCCATTTCTTCAAATGCCTATATCGTTTGGTCCGGATGGGTTTGGCGTCCCGCCAAACGTAACCTGCGGCCAGATGCTCGCGGATGGCGATGCTTAGACCTTCGATGAAAGCAATAACATTTCTGGGATATACAAAGAAATCGTCATCCACAAACATGATAACAGGTACGTTGGCACAATTGTTCACCGCCCAATCGATTCCGAACATGATTTTATACGTATTGTTGTAGTAGTCATCGATAAAATTCTGCTGTATAACATCTCCATGGAAAGAGACTTCCATGGCAATTCGGGAAGAAACATCAGTTTGTGAATCGGGAATTGCGCCCAACAGAAAGAGCCGCACAATATGGCGGCCGCCCCAACACGACTCGTCACCCCAGCCGACACGAATTGTATCCCGGAGTATGAAGTTTCCTGGGGCGGATTTTATAAGAATAAGAAGTTCCGGAGGCTGCTGATTTCTGCGTTCAATATTGGTGCATATTTCGGCGTGCGAAATGAGTACATCGAATACGGGTTCATTGATCGGCTGTATGTCGACCGGTAAACCGGAGGAAATACGTCTCACCAATTCCGGCATGTCGATATTCAGTCGGTAATCTAGATCTTCAGAGCCGGTAAAATTCCATTTGGAAATATTGAAGTCAACAGTTGGCTCCACTGACTGTCTTTGTAACTGAAGGTGGCTTTGGATTTCCCACAAAATGGAACTAACGGGAGCTTTGCCAACCGAGGGAACCTTGAGTGGACGTTCGGATCGATAAGAAAGAAATAGCGCGAATAGCTGGAACGTTACACTTGACACAAAAAGCAGCAGGATGAGAGTACGTTGACAAAAGCAGCAGGAGAATCGAGTATGAGATCCCATGGAACGCCTAAAAGCTAAGAAAAGATACGAAAGATGAGAATACAGAAATGTAAAAATCATAGTCGTACTCGTAGCGTCAATTCGTGTGGTGACAGTTTTTAAATTTAGTTGAATGAAAAAGGCGGTTGGACTGCATTGGTCGGAAAGCTATGAAATACCACCGAAAAATTAAAATGGACTGATTTGAGGAAGTAACGGGCAAGTCAGTTGGGGTCTCGGCCAAAATATGGTGGTAGACCTGGCAGCAGATCAACGGACAGGGTGGTTATCACAAGTAAATAGCGTTAGACGTTCGGAATATGGTTGAATGCAGTATGACGCTTGACGTGCGCGCGCCTGGGTCATTTGGATTATTCCTCTCCATCTTTTCGCTCTCTTCTTACAGCGTAGTCCCCGTATGCTCACTCGAAGCGAAACTGCTAACTCTACACAATGATCCATCTCATGTGGAACTAACTTTTACGGTGAAACTCCTCAACATTACTAGCTGTTTTAACTCGCAACTGTGATGGGACCTAAGCGGATAATTCAACCACGCTGACCCGATTGCTCTTCTGTGTAACATCAGTCGATGCAGAATTCTCGAGGCAAGTTGAAAAGCCCAAGCCTATTCCAATCTGGTATTTCTCAACGTAGCCGTAGAAAAACTTGCAATCACACAATCTGTGTTCAGCGTTGCGTTGCCCGAAGCAGCTGGGCTTAACATCGATCGATCAACCAACCAACATTGAAACGTGTGTTTACAAAAAACAGAGGTGACAGACAGTGCGCCACAACACGCCGACTTATGCTTACCGCCGAAGAGGAAAACAGTAATAACTGGTCATCCGGCAAATTCGTGAGCTTAAAACTACATACCCTCTACGAACATGTCTCACGTTATTAAGTGTGAATTATGTGTTGAAAGGATAAAGACTGGGCTAATGTGCTCCAGTTCTCGAAATCATATCATACTAAGTGACTTAGGAAGGGGCCGATCGAAACGAAACAGTACAAAAGCAAGATAGTCATTTCGATTCTGCCAAGTATGTATTTAGGAAGACGGCGGGATATCAGCCTGTCAGTGAAAGGTAGGGCGTATAACGCTGCGGTAAGGCCGGTCTTACTGTATGGATCAGAGACCTGGCCAGTCCGTGGCGTAGACATTAAATACTTGGCCGCGTTTGACCACCGGTGCTTGAGGAATACTGCTCGCGTTTCGTGGGAACACCGGGTGAGCAATACTGCGGTCCACCAGTTGGTTTTCGACAAGAAGCCTTCCGGTATCTCACTAGAGTGTTTACTGAATCCTAATCGCTTAAGTTGGCTAGGCCATGTCCAACGTATGCCCGTTGCCAGGCTTCCTCGGCGTGCATTATCCACACCGTGGCTACATCAAGTTGGGCGAAACCTAGAGGTGGCCAGTCCATGACGTGGTATGGAGGCATTAAGAAATTGACTGAGAGACTTGGTCAGGCTGGTGTGCCGTTTTCAAGGACAGGGACCTCGGGATGATCCACAAAAAGCGTCTGTGACATGGTGCAGTCATGCAGTCAGTGGTGTTATTGCATTCGGTTGTTAATTTGCATTCTGGTTGTTAATTTTATTCTATTCTGGTTAGTTTAAGGCACTTCCTACTTCCTTCCATTTTCTGTACATTCTACACGACTTTAACCCTGCTATCTTACCGGTGTTACTTATTGTTATGCTCGCAATGTGAGTCATGGCAACTGCGTCCATCGTATTTCGGTGCTCAGGTCATAGTTGATTAAATGAACTGAAATGAAGTATGAAGTGCCATCCCAGTCGTTAGCTGTCTAGCTGTGCTATGGAAGAAGTGTGAAAGACTAATGGAGGTAGTCGAGCAATTTGTGAGCGACCGGGAGGAAACAAACCTGCAGTTGTGTGTGAAAAAAACACGTTAAATTCTCCATTCAAACCGAAAAAGAGAGCCGGGCGTCCCAACCTCACCTCAACGTCTCAGTCTCCAGTTGCACGCAACGTGCCCACTTCAACTTATATACAGTATATCGTACCCAGTAGTACGTTCGTTATACAGGAGACCCAAAGCTACAGTCGGCCCACCATAGTGAGGAATCAGGCATCATACACATCGGCTGCCGCCAAGCGAACACCGGTAACTTTGATGACCAGACTGGGGAAAACTGAAGTGTCGCAGTACGGATGACCTCCATTAGTGCCGTCCACAAATTCACCTAAAGCACGGGAGACGAAAATTACCAGGCACAACCATGGTGTCTTAAACCTCGTGTACACTAATGTCCACAAATCAAAATCCAATACAATTAAGGGTAAGCTGACAGTCGATCGAAAACAGTGGCTCCACCTGTACAGTGGTCGGTGTCCATGCTGATCCTAGAACAATAAAAAGTATCTCGCGTCAGCCAAACTCACTGCACTACGGTGAATCCCCATTAACTCGGGTAACCTTAAACTCGGTGGAGGAGACAGAGGTTATTCTGTTATCGGCGAGGCGACTCCGTAACGCCACAAGTGGTGTGCATTTTGTATGACATCCCGTGTAAAGCACGTTCAGTAGACCGCAGTTACCGCAACGGAAACCGAAAATGTGGAGACAGAAAACTAGGATTCCTCACGGTGTTCCTGAGATTGCAGATTCCTCTTCGAGGATGCTCAGATTTACGAACGGGAGCAACGGCGTTACATCCGTGAGGCCTATTCTCTCGAAAATATCGTACTCAACTCGTTAACGAGGATCCCCGGGGTCACCTAATGTTGTGGCCTTCTATGAATTGCGGAGGTGCAGACCGCCAAAGCCCAACCGCTCGACTTAGAACAGAAGACTAAAGACGAAAAAGAACAGTTGGGAGAAGACAAACGAGGTACATGGGATACGATTTCGTGGATTTATGAAGTCCTTCTGCTAAATGACGAAACAGTAAATGTGGTAAACCGTCAATAGCTGAACCAAGGTCACGATTATGAGATAAGGGTCCTATTCGAGACGGAATGCTGGACGTTGTATTTGACCGCCCTCGTTAGGGTCCGCGTCTCCTAATAGCTAACAACCATGGGTGCGATCCCAAGTTGTTGAAACTAGTGTTACAGTCTGAACTAACGGCACAAACTCTTCTAGAAAAGTGAACTAAGTTCGGTAGCAGGCTGCAAACAGATTCTACTGAAAGCAGCGGGGGCAAAACCACGGTCTATTGACAACCCAATGGAGGCGCCAATCTCAATCCCACCGTAGGATCCGACGCGGTGATGGTTTCAACAGTTGACCTAGTGCTCGGTGAGAGACAAAAGAACATGAGCGACCACTGGGATCCGGAGGATCTGATACAAGAATATATTCTAAGTTTGCATCGAGGGCCTGCTAGCGACACAAAAAACGATTAGCCGCCGACCCTTCGTTGGTCAGCGTAAACTCACTCACGTCATTCATCACCTCCAACACGTTTTTGGTCTCCGAGAAGCTCTCCTGCATTTATACAAGGCCTACTCAGCAAATTAGCTGAATTGAGACTCCGACAAGCGTCAGCAGTTTGGGACCTTATCGCTATTGCGGAAACATGCTTGCGTGGTAAGATAACGGATGTCGAAATTGCGATAACAGGTATGTCCATTGTCCGGAAGGAACGAGGCAGCAAAGGTAGTGGAACAGTCCTCTACTTTCGTAACAACCTCCAGTGCGAACCCATACACGATGCGGAAATCGAAGTGCCGACTCCATCTGGTGTAATTTACGGCTGAGAGGGAATGACGTCAAGTTGTCGAACAACCTCCACGTGGTGCCAACTTGGTGGAATGGCATTATCCCGTCCCAGTAAACGGTTCGACGGCAGTGTTACAGGACCTGGTGAATATTCGCCCGGCAAGAGTTATTCCCATAAAAAACCACATAGGCCCGCACAAGAACAACGAGAGGTGGCGGAAGTGAATCGACACAAAATATAGTCACTGCGACTTCCCTCTCCAAAAAATCCTACGCACTTCACGAACGTCCACCGGTTTGAGGAGTTCCATTGATCTCTTTAAATGATGGAGAAGACAGTGAACAATATCACGAATTCACCCACACTAACAAAGGCACTCACCATGTCCACTTACACGGCTGGCTGCATCCAGTTACGGATTTGCCTGTCACCGTGGCCAGCAACAGGACGCCTGAGCCTACAGAGGGACAATAAGTGGCTTGAGCTGCACCACCCACAACTCCAAGCACACATCCCATATCCAGTGTCAAGAAGAAGGAATAACACCGGAAGGCATATGGATGGGAGCCACATTTCATCAACGGAGCCGGACCACACTCCTTCACAGGCAAACACAAGCACGCTGTATTTGGGAATCAAGCGCACACACAAGGCGGTGGCTGGACCATAGTCCGCTCCACACTGAGTGCATGGAACCAATCTTCGAGCCTAGCACGGCCACAAGGACCATGTTCTCGGTCCCTTCCAGAAACGACCAACTGTTTCCTGGAACCAGTATGAATGAGGCAGTGGGTAATAAACAAGTACGCACCTTGTTAACATGCACATCAAGCTAAGCCACACCGGAGATATCAAACAACAACCAATTACTCGAAAAGACGATATCTAATAAAATAGATCGAATAATGCATATAGATACAGCAACGTAACTCTTCACTAAATGAGTGTATGAAATAAATTGGTTGCAAAAAGCCGCGAAAGGTTCAATAAATCAGAAAATATATAATAAGAAAAGGCAACAACACTGAGAAAGTTATCAAAGTTTACTACAAGTATCTTATGCAACGTGTAAAAGTTTATAGAATATAGTTCAGATAGGCAATAATATAAGATAAAAAAGCATTAGGGCAATATAGCAAAAACCCACTACCTGAAATAAAGCGATTCAGCGTGCAAGCACGCTGTTAGTAAATCGAATGCAGCGTACCTACAAACGCTGCGCCGGTTCTGCCTAACTTTCCTGCAGAACACGTCGCTTCAGTGATGGTCCCGAGTGGCCTAGCTCATGGCTCACTAGGTCTGCCTGACTCAGGCACTCGCGACCGCATGTGTTACAG